ATTGGGTTTTAAACCTATCTACTACACGAGGGTCATTAAGGCTGCATGTCACCTGTACACCACCATCAACAATACTTTCTTCTCTTATTAGTAGACTGATGTAAACCCGCAGGTATACACACTAAGGTATACATACTAAGGTATACACACTAAGGTATACATACTAAGGTATACACACTAAGGTATACACACTAAGGTATACATACTAAGGTATACACACTAAGGTATACACACTAAGGTATACATACTAAGGTATACACACTAAGGTATACACACTAAGGTATACATACTAAGGTATACACACTAAGGTATACACACTAAGGTATACATACTAAGGTATACACACTAAGGTATACATACTAAGGTATACACACTCAGGTATACACACTAAGGTATACACACTAAGGTATACATACTAAGGTATACACACTAAGGTATACACACTAAGGTATACACACTCAGGTATACACACTAAGGTATACACACTAAGGTATACATACTAAGGTATACACACTAAGGTATACACCTCTCTGTGTATATTTTTCCTAACCCAGAGCAGAATTAAGTGTAATCTAACCCCATTTAACGCACGTGGCTTGAAGATCACGTTTCTCCAGTACATTTCGCCCACTAAGACACGTTTTATACACAATTTTAATCCATAAAAACAATAAACAAAAATATTCTGAGAGAGAAAGTATCAGAATTCCACCATAATCCCACTAATTCATTATTAATGTCGCTGTTTTGCTTTTTTTAATTATATATTTTGAGCTACTGAGGGTGTGGAAGATGGTCGCAGAAATAATGGAAGTGGACGATGCATATGGGAAAATATATATGTGGCTCTGGGAACACTTTCCTCTGTTTGTTTGTCATTACACACTTGTAATGTCCACTTGTATTTACATCTGTAAAACATGCGAGGGGTTTTTTTTACTGGGTATTTTTTCTTCTGGGTAATATAACCCTGGGTTTACCAGCCATTAACACATATTAACTGGACACGATACAAGATTTTTATTTTAAATGTGCTTCTCTGCATTTTTTAACTTTTTTTGCGCGCCAGTTTTTAGTGGGATTTTATTTTTTTGGCGCGAATGTCAGTTATATTTAACTTTTTTGTCGTGAATTTTAGTGATATGTAACTTTTTAAGGGTCGCGAATTTCAGTGATAATCAACTTTATGGACGCGAATTTTAGTGATATTAAGCATTTTAGTGCGAATTTTAGAGATATTAAACTTTTATTGGTGCGAATTTTAATGATATTAAACTTTTTGGTGCGAATTTTAGTGATACTAAACTTTTTTTGGTGCGAATTTTAGTGATATCAAACTTTTTGGCGCGAATTTTAATGACATTCAACTTTTTTGGCGGGAGTTTTATACTCATGGTCCCTTTAAAGTGTTTGTTTACCTTCAGTATTGACATTCATGACTACTATTGGCTGTTATAACATGCCATTATGTCATGCCGGGAAGCTGCCTCGGTAAATGCCTCTATATCCCCCCACAAAGGCCTTTTAGGCTTTTTCTGACAGACAAATTCCTTTAATAAGGAGCCAATCCCGACATTTTTTTTGTCTAAGCAGAGACACACGTGGGATTTAGGATGATTGCCAGCGGTTGGGGAGGAATGTGTGTGTGTCTGTGTCCCTGATGGAAGGATAGTTGACGTTTTTTAAATGCCACCGTCAGACCGCATTCCTACACTCGGTTATAATGAAGGTTTTTCCCAAAGAGCGACCGTACAAACGAACTTCACATTCCTGGCATACCATGGCGGCCCGACGGACCCCCGCGAGAGGCTAGCTCACTCTCACTTCTCATTGGCTCCAAGTTTAACCCCAACACCAATCACAACGCAGTATTTTCCGCGCGACTGAGCAGAGCCGACTTTCCACTGTCTAGTGCAGAGTTTTCACAAAAGAATCTTTAAAAATTCGTTAATTCTTCACTTAAATACACCAAAACTATAAGATATTTGACACATCTTATAACTATAATAGTGAAGACTGGAACACCTAAACTAAAATACCCTCACAAAACTAATTCTCTGAACTATACGTTATTATTATCACTATTTATTTGATATGATAAAGTTCAGAAGTGAGTGAAACAAAGAGGTAAATTTCCCAGACAGCGGCATCATGGCAGTACTCGGCCGAGACTTTAACTTCATTGATGAGAACACAAGTAGCAGTGACCGTGGAGACGTGAGGGTGTACACTCTCGCTCCAGTGACTTACATATCCCGTGCTAACCTTTAATGACCTTTCCTGGAGTGTGACCCCGCGTGACGCACTCCCACATTGACCTAACATTCCACACAGACGCCTCCGAACATTTCCATTTGGAGGTATATGTGTTATTTAAGGCTAAGCGACCCGTTGTAGTGTTTGTTTTAGTGTATTATGCGAGATATGGCAAATATGGCGGTAGTGTTGCCTGAGAGAGAGAGACCTTCACCCAAGGTGTGGCAGCCATGGTATATGGAAGGTAAGGTCATCATATATGTCTCGCCGGGATACATATGTAGCTGCCTGATTAATTTCCTGAGTTTGAAGCCTATCTGCTACACGAGGCTACATGTTACCTGTCAAGCATATTATATCTATTTATTAATAAATATTATTTAATAATCATTATTAATAATGATATTTTTTGTAAGTTTTATTGTGATTATTATATTATTAATCTCTATTATTAAATCTAATTATTTAATATATTAAATTAATTATTAATCTATTAATATTATTAAATGTAATTATTAATCTATTAAAGCCAATTATTATTATTTAATCTAGTATTAAACTTAATTATTTAATCTATTATTAAATCTAATTATTATTATTAATTATTATTATTACTAATTTCATTCTCCCTTGAATTTCAACCCTTCTATTCCCAGGCGTTATATTACCCCTGCTGGTTTAGTGCTCAATAATAATAATAATAATAATAATAATAATAATTACCTGGGTAATGTAAGAGTGGGGGGGGGTGACTTCAAGCTTCTTATTTTCCCATCTTAACATTATTACTGTTGTGTTATTCTGATGGTTAATTTCCTCACAGGTTACTATATAATTGTACTTATGTGTACCTGTGCCTAAATAAACTTGTGTCGCTCTAGTACGTTGTTATGGTAGTGTAGGGACCAAAAACCCCTCTAGAAATATAATAATCTTCCAAGGACCATAATGAAATAAGTTACTTTGACTTTTTTTGAGTTATAAGTCACTTTTTGGGGGTTATTCTGGGTAATTTACACTGTATATGTACCTGTGTGTACCTGTGCCTAAGTAAACTTGTATGTAAATTATCGGCGCTCGCTCTCTGGCTCTGGCTCTCTCTCTCTCTCTCTCTGGCTCTCTCTGGCTGGCTCTCTCTCTCTGGCTCTCTCTGGCTGGCTCTCTCTCTCTCTGGCTCTCTCTCTCTGGCTCTCTCTGGCTGGCTCTCTCTCTCTGGCTCTCTCTCTGACTCTGGCTGGCTCTCTCTCTCTCTGGCTCTGGCTCTTTCTCTGGCTCTCTCTCTGGCTCTGGCTCTTTCTCTGGCTCTCTCTTGGCTCTCTCCGGCTCTCTCTGGCTCTCTCTGGCTCTCTCTGGCTGGCTCTCTCTGGCTTGGCTCTCTCTCTCTGCTCTGACTCTCTCTGGCTCTCGCCGCTCTCTCTGGCTCTCGCGCTCTCTCTGGCTCTCTCTCTGGCTCTGGCGCTCTCTCTGGCTCTCTCTCTGGCTCTGGCTCTCTCTCTGGCTCTCTCTCTGGCTCTGGCGCTCTCTGGCTCTGGCGCTCTCTCTGGCTCTCTCTCTGGCTCTGGCGCTACTCTTGGCTCTCTCTCTGGCTCTGGCTCTCTCTCTGGCTCTCCTCTCTGGCTCTGGCGCTCTCTGGCTCTGGCGCTCTCTCTGGCTCTCGCGCTCTCTCGGCTTCTCTCTGGCTCTGGCGCTCTCTCTGGCTCTCTCTCTGGCTCTGGCTCTCTCTCTGGCTCTCTCTCTGGCTCTGGCGCTCTCTCTGGCTCTCTCTCTGGCTCTGGCTCTCTCTCTGGCTCTCTCTCTGGCTCTGGCGCTCTCTCTGGCTCTCTCTCTGGCTCTCTCTCTGGCTCTCTCTCTGGCTCTGGCGCTCTCTGGCTCTGGCGCTCTCTCTGGCTCTCGCGCTCTCTCTGGCTCTCTCTCTGGCTCTGGCGCTCTCTCTGGCTCTCTCTCTGGCTCTGGCTCTCTCTCTGGCTCTCTCTCTGGCTCTGACTCTCTCTCTGGCTCTGGCGCTCTCTCTGGCTCTCTCTGGCTCTCTCTCCTTTATTTTCATTTCTCTGGGGTTGTTCCCTCTAGTTTAAATTTGTGTTGGTTATTTGCGAGCGGTAAAGCCCTATTATTTTTTTTTTTCCAAATCTGCTGCCTTGCCTGCTCTGTGAAGTTAAGAGACTGACCTTAAAATTACTTATGTACGACCTCCACTGTCTGTAGTATAATAATTTCTACAAACACATGATACAACTTATACGGACCATAGCTGACATCCGTGACGTACTATATAGAAAGTTCCTGGTTATGTAGAGCATTTCCTGCAACTTAGGTTATGTCCCCGGGATGCGACCCACACCAGTCCGCTAACACCCAGGTACCTATTTTACTGCTAGGTGAACATGGACAGCAGATGTCTTAAGGAAACGCGTCCTAATGTTGCCACTCGTACCGGAGATCGAACCACGGACCTTAATCTGTGGGCTCAGCACAACAGTAGGCCTACTGGTCCGTGCTAGGCAGGTTCATCTCACACCCACCTTGTATTAAAATTATTAAAGAGACAAAAGGCATAATGCCGTGACTGGAACAATACACAAATAACTCCCACATAGAATAATTCTTAGAGACGATGTTTCGGTCCGACTTGGACCATTAACTAGTCACTAGTTAATACACCATTAACTAGTCACTAGTTAATACACCATTAACTAGTCACTAGTTAATACACCATTAACTAGTCACTAGTTAATACACCATTAACTAGTCACTAGTTAATACACCATTAACTAGTCAACTAGTTAATACACCATTAACTAGTCACTAGTTATACACCATTAACTAGTCACTAGTTAATACACCATTAACTAGTCACTAGTTAATACCACATTAATAGTCACTAGTTAATACACCATTAACTAGTCGCTAGTTAATACACCATTAACTAGTCACTAGATAATACACCATTAACTAGTCACTAGTTAATACACCATTAACTAGTCACTAGTTAATACACCATTAACTAGTCACTAGTTAATACACCATTAACTAGTCACTAGTTAATACACCATTAACTAGTCACTAGTTAATACACCATTAACTAGTCACTAGTTAATACACCATTAACTAGTCACTAGTTTAATACACCATTAACTAGCCACTAGTTAATACACCAATTAACTAGCCACTAGTTAATACACATTAATAGCCACTAGTTAATACACCATTAACTAGCCACTAGTTAATACACCATTAACTAGTCACTTAATGGTGTATTAGATTGTTGTTAAGTTTATTTAGGTACACGTACACCTAAGTACAGTTATTATACCTAGTATGTGTAAATTACCTCGGGTAATAGAAACTAAGACTTAAGAACATAAGAACATAAGAACGAAGGAACACTGCAGAAGGCCTACTGGCCCATGCGAGGCAGGTCCAAGTCTCCTACCGGCTTAAGCTTTAAAAAGAGATAAATATATGAGTGAGACTTGAGTTTGTTTAGTTCGTGAGGTATTGAAGCTGATTCTTGGGAAGCTTTGGGGAAATTATAAATGGCTTGGAAAACTGACAGGTTGATAAATGAGCTGAACTTTTCTCTAGGCTGAGGGACTGACCACCTCAACTTTACTCTAGGCTGAGGGACTGACCACCTCAACTTTACTCTAGGCTGAGGGACTGACCACCTCAACTTTTCTCTAGGCTGAGGGACTGACCACCTCAACTTTACTCTAGGCTGAGGGACTGACCACCTCAACTTTTCTCTAGGCTGAGGGACTGACCACCTCAACTTTTCTCTAGGCTGAGGGACTGACCACCTCAGATACTTTTTATCCAAGGTTGGTGGACTGATTATGTGATCTTTATTTCGCTGCTACACCTGCTACCTGTGTATTTGACTGAAGAAGCCTAGTGTGTAGGCGAAACGCATGTCTTAATGTGAACATTCAAATGGTATAAAATACCGAGAGGTTGTTAGGTAAGACACATATGCAACAGTTAGGTATCTTTATTTCGAAACGTTTCGCCTACACAGTAGGCTTCTTCAGTCGAGTACAGAAAAGTTGATAGAAGCAGAAGATGAAAGTTAAGACACATGTGCAACATCTGGATATCTTTATTGTAGACGTTTCGCCATCCAGTGGCTTTATCAATACAGATTCTAGGACATAATAGGAAGACAGTAGAACTATATACAAAAGATGAGGTAATCAGTCCACGATGCTGTGAACACTAACTCCAAGGCCGAGGGACTGATTACCTCATCTTTTGTATATAGTTCTACTGTCTTCCTATTATGTCCTAGAATCTGTATTGATAAAGCCACTGGATGGCGAAACGTCTACAATAAAGATATCCAGATGTTGCACATGTGTCTTAACTTTCATATTGTCGGTATTTTATACCTTTCTTGCACAAGCAGAAGATACTTGAAAGTATCTTCTGCTTCAAGTATCTTCTGCTTCTATCAACTTTTCTTTACTCGATGAAAACCTACTGTGTAGGCAAACTTTTCGGAATAAATTTGTCTAATGTTGCAATGTGTCTTCCCTAACAACCTTGGGGTATGTATACCTTTTGATGTTCACCCTCACCCTGGAGTCGATGTGTTCGTCCATCAATCTTGTAAAATGTAAGCTTTGGCCCGTAGACGTGGCTTAATATGTAGTGGGTGAGGTGAAGCAGGCGGAGGGGGGTCATAGTGGATCCCCTCTAGTCGAAGTAGGTTTTCCCAAAGGTTGGACAAGTGTTAAGAATTAAAAAAATAACAAAAAGGGACAATACCGTGAGGGAAGATCCCAAAAAAACCCCGCCATAAAAGACAGAAGCTTACGACACGTTTCGGCCCGACTTGGACCATTGACAAGTCCCATGATCTGCAGTGTCAGACAGTTGTGTAAAGGGTTTAAAAAAACCGACAAGGCACCTCTCGTATAATCTTAAGGTGGGGGAATTAGCGGATGTTCCAGTGCCGGTATTGAGTGGTTAAAACACTGGGCAACAGTATCTTTATTATTAAAACGTTTCCCCTACACGGGGGTTTTTTCAGTCAATACAGGGGCGCGGGTGCACTAGCATTCCCTCACTCAAAGCTATTATCCCCTTTTTATTCAGTATTTTTTTAACGGTTGCAAAGCTTGGAGAGCGAAACTTTGAAAATTTTAAAAATGTCATTAGGTAAGACACATATGCAACAGTTAGCAACTTTTTTCCGAAATTTTTCGCCTCACAGAGGTTTCTTCGTCAAATAAAAAAAAGGGCAAA